AATCTGAAATGGGATTTAGGGTTTAATCAAATTCAATTTGGGATTAGAAATCTGAGAGGAGAGTGCATTAGAAGCTTGCGCGAAGTCTTTAGTGGAGAGCATACAAACTTGATTAGAGCTTTCAAGGTTTGTTATTAGAGTTTGGACGTCAATTGCGAAATCGTTGTAGGTGTGCGTGAACTAGTTGGAGTGGAATTTGTTGGAAGGTTAGTATGTCTACTTTACATAGATATGAATTTAATATTCGGTTGTTTCTGTTGTTATCTGGGGATGCTTTTTTGAATGTGCGGTTGGGGTTGTCTGAAAATGTGGTGTTTGTATATTGCGGTTGTGGTTCCCCATAGTTAGAGTTCGTTTGTTCTGTCATTATCACTTTAATAAGCGGTGTTTTTTGTCGTTTTAGGCTTATTTGTAGGTGTAGAATAATCTTAATTGTGTTGTGTGTGATGGAAGATATAGAGGTTGTTATTCACCATGGGGGAAAGTTCATAAATGACAGGTGCCTGAAATATGAAAGGAAAAGTGAGACAATGTATTTTGATCCTGACTTATGGAGTTATTTTGTTGTAGTGAGTGTAGTGAAAAGTCTTGGGTACAATGAATTTAAGGAAATGTGGTTTTCTGTTGGATGTGGTCCTGTATTAGATGATAGGCTAGAAGCATTGTGTGATGACGTAGGTGTCATGCATATGGTTACTTTAGCTCACTTAAATGGACAAGTTCATTTATATGTTGTGCACATTATCTCTCAACCTGATGTCATTCACATGATTGAATACAACATTGATGAAGGAGGTGACGAAGTTACACCTCAGGTGAATGAGGGTGGTGAGGGTGCACAATTTGCTAAGGGTATAGATAATGGTTTGAGGCAACAATTGGATGAGGGGGTAGGTGCTGATGGTGAGAGGATAGAAGTTTTTATTGGTCAGGCTGAGATGACAGAAGCAGCTGAAGATGACGATGAGAGGATAGAGGTTGATGAAGGAGATGTTGAGAGGACATAAGCAGATGTAGTGCAGGAAGAGAGATAAAGGTTGAGGAAGCTGATGTTGTGGCTGAGAGGACAGAACCAGATGAAGTTGAAGTTGAGGGTGAGAGGACAAAGGTTGAGGAAGCCGATGTTGAGGTTGAGAGGACAAAACCAGATGAAGTTCAAGTTGAGGGTGAGAGGACAGAGGTTGAGGAAGCTGATGTTAAGGATGAGAGGACAGAAGCAGATGAAGTTGAAGTTGAGGGTGAGAGGATAGAGGTTGAGGAAGGTGATGGTGAGAGGACAACAATAGATGAAGTGCATGAAGAGAGGATAGAGGTTGAGGAAGTTGAGGCTGAGAGGATAGAAGCACAAGATGGTGATGGTGATAGGTTAGATGGTGAGGCTTACAGAATAGAAGTGCATCACTTGGAGGATATAGAAGTAGAAGTCTATGATTGGAGTACATTACGTGATGATGATGATGGTGAGATGAATAGTGAGGATGGGTTAGTAGACATAAATGTGCAGTGTGATGTAAGTCAAAGTTCTGCTAATTTGGAGGTTCAGTTTGAACCTGTTTTACTTGGGTCTGAGTAAGATATGGAAGAAGATGACATTAATGATTCCAGTTGGTTCAATGACGAACGACAATCTGAGGACTTAACTTCTCCTGATATAAGTGATGAAGAAAGTGAGGATGAAGAAGGGTATGGACAATTTTCTACGTTTACTATACCAAAACAAATGGTTGATTTCAACTGGGAAGTGGGAACATATTTTGTGGATAAACAAGACATCCTTGATGCCATCAAAAGTTATGCAGTAGAAAATGAGAAAATTTTGAAACTTGTTAAAAATGATAAAAAAAGAATTAGGGTTAAATGTTTGGGATCAAAAGGAGAATGTCCGTGGAGGGTGTATTTTGGTTTCATGGATGCAGCAAAGTCATGACAACTGGGCACTGTGGTTGACAGGCATACATGCAGTAGGGAACACAAGTTTCGACTATTCAATGCAAAATGGCTTAGTAGAAAATTGGAAAAAACACTGAGAGAGAATCGTAATGTAAAGGGAGTTGATATTAGAGATAAAATTACTAGGAAATGGAACATAGCAATATCTAAGAACATGGCTTACAGGGCCAAAGTCTATGCATCAGACGAAGTGGCAGGGTCCTTCAGTAAGCAATGTAGTAGAATTTATGATTATGCTCATGAGTTATTAGCAAGAAACCCTGGGTCCACAATCAAGTTGAAAGTTGAGTCATATGATGGGAAATCAATATTCAAGAGGTTTTACACATGCCTAAAGGCATGCAAAGATAGCTTTGTCTCATGTAGGCCAATCATTGGCCTTAATGGAGCCTTTTTGAAAGGCAGACATCGTGGTGAGCTATTAACTGTTGTGGCTCGTGATGCAAACGACCAAATGTTGCCACTGGCGTATGCAATCATAAAAGTTGAGAACAAGGAGACTTGGACTTGGTTTATGGAGTTACTGATTGAAGACCTGGGTGAACCTGAGGTGTGTTCTTCACTTACAATCATATCAGATCAACAAAAGTAACTTCCATTATTATTATTGACTTTTATCTTATAGAAATGAATTGAAATCAATACCATCTAACCATTTTTATGACTCATTCACAGGGTTTGTTACAAGCTGTACAAGATGTTGTTCCTGGAGTTGCACAAAAAATTTTGTGTAAGGCATTTATATGTCAACTTCAGGAAGAAATTCCCTGAAAAGAATATGAAAAGGCTTATGTGGAGGGCAGCTATAGCAACCCACCCACAAAAATGGGAGAACGAGATGAGATGTATCAAAGAGGTCAACGAAGTCAACCTATGAAGAAATTTATTCCTCCATTATATATCCCATTAATGGAAACAACCTCTAGGAGGTAAGATGTCATGCCTCCATCAACAAGACATATGTCTGGTCGTCCTAAGAAGAAAAGGAGGTTAGAGCAATGGGAGTTGAAGAAAAGTAGCACCATAATGTCAAAAGGGGGATTATTGAAGAGAGGTCGCATCTATAGGGAAGTGGGTCACAACAGGAAAAACTGCCCCAAGAGAAACCAGGTGCAGGAAGAGGGACAACAACCCAGTTCATTGCCTGAGGGTGAACTAGATGGAGAAGAACCACTTCAGAGTTGAAGAATGTTATATGTTTTAGTAGTAGCAAATGTAATAGGGCAAAATTTGATGTTTATCATCTTATAGACATGTCTTATAAGTAATGATTTAATGTTTCAGTATGTAATAGCCTAAAGTATCCTACATATTGGTACTTGTATGAACAATGGATGACTACTTTTTCGTATTAATATACAAATGTTGAGTTCTAACATTGACAGTTTCTTTATTGCAAGTAAATTAAAAATTTATTATTTATCATCATAGTATCTTTTCTGTAATACACTTGTTAAGCTGAAGTTTCCATGTGTGTCTTGGACTTGTGCTTCTTTTGAACCATTAAGCAGGACATGTGTTTTTCTTTCTTGAAATGTTGTACATACAAAATTTACAATGAAATTGTTAATAGCACAAAAACTGTTTTGTGCAATGTACTTCAGTATCATCAAATATACTATAAAGGAATCTAACTTGGAAACATTCTTTGAACTTTATATGGTCAGTTAAAGTCATGGAGGCTGTATAGATTGGTATGGAAACCATCCTATATGTTATTGACAACAAAATGAAACCAAAACAAAGACAACAATTGAACTGATTTTTTCCAAATTATCATTTCATTAAAGATATGAAACTGATACATCTTCATAGCAGAAAACATAAATACATTGCAACCTCTACATTAAATAGAACTACATTAACATTATCAAGCCTACAACTAATATCAAAACAGACCTAAATTATCAAGCTCTTCCCATCAACATTGCAATTATAATGATGTTCATCACACATAGAACGCTAACAACCCCAACCAAAAATTTCATCCAGCTTTGAAGTCCCATCACAGCTTTCTGCACACCAACTATCTTCTTATCACTTTCATTTTCAAAACTCTTCACCAACCTCTCATCATTTGCTTCCAGCACCTCACAGCTAAGACTTTCTTCATTTCCCCAATCAGTGAACCACCTGAAGTAGTTGCATCCACCATTTTCACTTCCAACCTTATACCTAGGGCAACTTCAAAATTTTTTGCCGCGATTCTTACTGGTTTTCACAGTCCTCAACACAGACTTCTCTCCAAAATGACAGATCAGCGAAGCATCACAGACCGCAAATGCTTTCTACAACACTTATTGCAAGTGGAAGAGGAACACGAATGACCCATCGACATTGTTGCGACTTCTACTTTCGCACTTCACTGTTTCGAAACTTCACGGGCTTTCCAATCTTCAAAAACAAAGAACCCAAATTGACTTCGCGCAAGCTTCACCCTAAAGAACCCTAAATCCTATATTTCAGAAATCATATTATTTCAATTTAAGAACTTCCCAAATGTCACATTTAAAGTCTAAACATGCCACGTTTAAATAAAATCACACGTAATCCTCCAACTTGTGCAAAAACTTAACTCCGTTAACTAAATTTAACGGGAGGGGCTCAATTGATTCAAATTACCACTTATAAGAACTCAATTCGGGATTCTAAAAAGAAGGGGATCAAAATGGGAAAACCTCACATAAATAGAGACAACTAAAAGTTTAAACCTTGTTTTTACTTTAGTAATACAAGTAGTTCGATTGTGATTCAAATATGATTCAATTATTAAACTTTAAATCATACCTTAATTTGCTTAATCATCAATTAAATTTTAAAAATATTAAGTGTTAAAGTAGTTTCAATTTTTAATAAAAATATATTTTGATTCCTCAGATACTAATTAGCAATTTACATCATAAGAAACATTTAAATAATAAATAAAGGTAATCTTATTTTAAATACGAAATATATCATTACTAATTATTACACCACGCACACGTCAAGCCGAAGGGACCAAGGAGTGAATAAAAATAGAAAAAAGGGTGATTCGGTAATTGGCACAAAAATTAAAAATAAAATATTCGAATTCTAAAGTCGAAATCTTGTGAGTGGAAAAGACGCCATAGACGAAAAGTTTTCCTCTCTCTCTCTCCCTCTCTCCCTCTCTCAACCCAGCGATGAGCCTCTTCGGTATAGGCAGGTAAGTGCGAAAGTTTTAATTTTTACTACGATTCTCACTTCTCAACTTTTAATTTCCGAGTTTTACTTTCTTTGATTTTTGTTTGCAATTAATGGATTCTTCTTCTCACAGTTTGTTATGTTCTGTGATCCGATCACTGATCTTTGTTCAATATTTAAATGGGTAGTTTATTTTCAATTAAACAACTTAATCTGGATCACGTTTTTTACATTCAAGTATATGTATTTGGGGAAATTTAGTGCGCACTGCTACTATGTTTATCAGTGATCTATTGTTAATTCATCGTACTATCTAATTACCCTTAGTAATTTTGTTGAGCAGGTAGAATTGAAGTGGATTTTGTGTATTCTATGTTTGGGGAATAGGATATTTCGGGGAGCTTTTTTTTTTTCTTTAAAGGGAGTAGGTTGTTAGGCTTCTTTTGCATGCTCATAGTAAACTTAATAGAGCTTAGATGATGATGAATTGATTGATAAGTAGAGTAAAGTTGTTTTAGAAAACAGTTATTAAGCAAACAAGATAATGAAAAGGAAATCAAACAAACCCTTGTTCTTTTCAACTTCAATAATTATATTAGAGAGAAAGTTCACCATGCACCGTCCAAGCAAATCCAGAATTATTTCAGTGGATAAAATAACTAATGGCGAATCTCCCTTTTTATTCCATAGGATTTTCCTCGCAGTTTATTTAAGATTGATATTTCTTAACATAACTCACTACACTTCTCTTAATTTCACATTTGAGCAAGTGTATGAGATTTGGTGAAAGAGCCTTATTTTCCTGGTTTAATTTTTTTAATTGGCCCGCTAAACATGATTTCTAATTAATCTATCTGAGATTCTGAGTGTAAGGAGCTTAGATGTCGATTTTCTGCTATTGTTTTCAATGGTGAGTGGTAGAAGGACAAAATTCTGCCATATAAATGCGCCATTGTGGTGTGTGGCTCCACCATAACGGGCCTCCCTTCAAAAATTGCCTGGGCAGTAGGCAAAAAAATTGCAGCGCCATTCCACAACTAAAGAACAGTCATTTAACAACAACGTTATTCCCTCCCTATTCATTTGCTTCTTTTTCCGTTATTGATGTGCCACTGTTTTCTGTTCTCCTAGTTAATGTTAAACAAATTTAATTTCTGAAGTGTTAAAATATTAGTAGATACTAGTAGATTATAATAGTGTTGACTTTTCATTATTTCTTCACTGTCATAACTATTGGTACAATGGTTACTTCTATGAAAACAAATACTTGAACCTTTAAATTCATTGGTAGTTTAATATGAAGACAAAAATGTTTCAGTTGTCACTTCAATTGATTGTCTATAGAATTCCTTCATTACCTCTATGTCCTATCATGTGATCAGTAATCCATACTTCTTTAGCATTTCAAAAGTATTTAGACCCTTTCATGTCAGTCTTACCTTTCGATGTTTTCTTTCTTTATACCAAACTAAACTGCTTTATTATGGTGACACAGATGATCACTACTCATATTTGGCCTGCAATTTTTTTAATGTAAAGACTTGCTGATTAATGGACAACTAGTTGACACAGATATTTATATAATCTGGACGTTCAAGTTTAATAGACTCCCCCCTCTCACTAAACAGTTACAAATATGTGAAATGATCACTGTTAAAAAAAAGAATATTCAGCAGTAGAGAAATAAAATAATTATTATGCTATTAGTGCAACTTTGGGTGATACTATTATGCATTTCACAAATGCAAACAATGTTGATGAAATATTTTTAGTAATTTAGTTTAATTTGATTCTCTTCCTTCTTTCGTTAGTATCTTACCTGATATTGTTCTGCAACAGAAACCAGAGAACATTCCGTCCAAAAAAAAGTACTCCATCTGGAAGTAAGGTGGGTTTCTATTATTTTTCTGGGATCTTTTTTTAGATATTATTTGTTCTTGATGATTTAAGTTTTTTTTTTCTCATTTAAAGCTGAGAGCCTTGCTGTTATGACCATTTCAGTTTTTATTTCATTCATTATATCACACGTGCATGGATGGGAAGGAATTGCTTTAACCTTACACAGAGCTCACGAAANATGCTCATGAGTTATTAGCAAGAAACCCTGGGTCCACAATCAAGTTGAAAGTTGAGTCATATGATGGGAAATCAATATTCAAGAGGTTTTACACATGCCTAAAGGCATGCAAAGATAGCTTTGTCTCATGTAGGCCAATCATTGGCCTTAATGGAGCCTTTTTGAAAGGCAGACATCGTGGTGAGCTATTAACTGTTGTGGCTCGTGATGCAAACGACCAAATGTTGCCACTGGCGTATGCAATCATAAAAGTTGAGAACAAGGAGACTTGGACTTGGTTTATGGAGTTACTGATTGAAGACCTGGGTGAACCTGAGGTGTGTTCTTCACTTACAATCATATCAGATCAACAAAAGTAACTTCCATTATTATTATTGACTTTTATCTTATAGAAATGAATTGAAATCAATACCATCTAACCATTTTTATGACTCATTCACAGGGTTTGTTACAAGCTGTACAAGATGTTGTTCCTGGAGTTGCACAAAAAATTTTGTGTAAGGCATTTATATGTCAACTTCAGGAAGAAATTCCCTGAAAAGAATATGAAAAGGCTTATGTGGAGGGCAGCTATAGCAACCCACCCACAAAAATGGGAGAACGAGATGAGATGTATCAAAGAGGTCAACGAAGTCAACCTATGAAGAAATTTATTCCTCCATTATATATCCCATTAATGGAAACAACCTCTAGGAGGTAAGATGTCATGCCTCCATCAACAAGACATATGTCTGGTCGTCCTAAGAAGAAAAGGAGGTTAGAGCAATGGGAGTTGAAGAAAAGTAGCACCATAATGTCAAAAGGGGGATTATTGAAGAGAGGTCGCATCTATAGGGAAGTGGGTCACAACAGGAAAAACTGCCCCAAGAGAAACCAGGTGCAGGAAGAGGGACAACAACCCAGTTCATTGCCTGAGGGTGAACTAGATGGAGAAGAACCACTTCAGAGTTGAAGAATGTTATATGTTTTAGTAGTAGCAAATGTAATAGGGCAAAATTTGATGTTTATCATCTTATAGACATGTCTTATAAGTAATGATTTAATGTTTCAGTATGTAATAGCCTAAAGTATCCTACATATTGGTACTTGTATGAACAATGAATGACTACTTTTAAGTATTAATATACAAATGTTGAGTTCTAACATTGACAGTTTCTTTATTGCAAGTAAATTAAAAATTTATTATTTATCATCATAGTATCTTTTCTGTAATACACTTGTTAAGCTGAAGTTTCCATGTGTGTCTTGGACTTGTGCTTCTTTTGAACCATTAAGCAGGACATGTGTTTTTCTTTCTTGAAATGTTGTACATACAAAATTTACAATGAAATTGTTAATAGCACAAAAACTGTTTTGTGCAATGTACTTCAGTATCATCAAATATACTATAAAGGAATCTAACTTGGAAACATTCTTTGAACTTTATATGGTCAGTTAAAGTCATGGAGGCTGTATAGATTGGTATGGAAACCATCCTATATGTTATTGACAACAAAATGAAACCAAAACAAAGACAACAATTGAACTGATTTTTTCCAAATTATCATTTCATTAAAGATATGAAACTGATACATCTTCATAGCAGAAAACATAAATACATTGCAACCTCTACATTAAATAGAACTACATTAACATTATCAAGCCTACAACTAATATCAAAACAGACCTAAATTATCAAGCTCTTCCCATCAACATTGCAATTATAATGATGTTCATCACACATAGAACGCTAACAACCCCAACCAAAAATTTAATCCAACTTTGAAGACCCATCACAACTTTCTGCACACGAACTATCTTCTTATCACTTTCATTTTCAAAACTCTTCACCAACCTCTCATCATTTGCTTCCAGCACCTCACAGCTAAGACTTTCTTCATTTCCCCAATCAGTGAACCACCTGAAGTAGTTGCATCCACCATTTTCACTTCCAACCTTATACCTAGGGCAACTTCAAAATTTTTTGCCGCGATTCTTACTGGTTTTCACAGTCCTCAACACAGACTTCTCTCCAAAATGACAGATCAGCGAAGCATCACAGACCGCAAATGCTTTCTACAACACTTATTGCAAGTGGAAGAGGAACACGAATGACCCATCGACATTGTTGCGACTTCTACTTTCGCACTTCACTGTTTCGAAACTTCACGGGCTTTCCAATCTTCAAAAACAAAGAACCCAAATTGACTTCGCGCAAGCTTCACCCTAAAGAACCCTAAATCCTATATTTCAGAAATCATATTATTTCAATTTAAGAACTTCCCAAATGTCACATTTAAAGTCTAAACATGCCACGTTTAAATAAAATCACACGTAATCCTCCAACTTGTGCAAAAACTTAACTCCGTTAACTAAATTTAACGGGAGGGGCTCAATTGATTCAAATTACCACTTATAAGAACTCAATTCGGGATTCTAAAAAGAAGGGGATCAAAATGGGAAAACCTCACATAAATAGAGACAACTAAAAGTTTAAACCTTGTTTTTACTTTAGTAATACAAGTAGTTCGATTGTGATTCAAATATGATTCAATTATTAAACTTTAAATCATACCTTAATTTGCTTAATCATCAATTAAATTTTAAAAATATTAAGTGTTAAAGTAGTTTCAATTTTTAATAAAAATATATTTTGATTCCTCAGATACTAATTAGCAATTTACATCATAAGAAACATTTAAATAATAAATAAAGGTAATCTTATTTTAAATACGAAATATATCATTACTAATTATTACACCACACACACGTCAAGCCGAAGGGACCAAGGAGTGAATAAAAATAGAAAAAAGGGTGATTCGGTAATTGGCACAAAAATTAAAAATAAAATATTCGAATTCTAAAGTCGAAATCTTGTGAGTGGAAAAGACGCCATAGACGAAAAGTTTTCCTCTCTCTCTCTCCCTCTCTCCCTCTCTCAACCCAGCGATGAGCCTCTTCGGTATAGGCAGGTAAGTGCGAAAGTTTTAATTTTTACTACGATTCTCACTTCTCAACTTTTAATTTCCGAGTTTTACTTTCTTTGATTTTTGTTTGCAATTAATGGATTCTTCTTCTCACAGTTTGTTATGTTCTGTGATCCGATCACTGATCTTTGTTCAATATTTAAATGGGTAGTTTATTTTCAATTAAACAACTTAATCTGGATCACGTTTTTTACATTCAAGTATATGTATTTGGGGAAATTTAGTGCGCACTGCTACTATGTTTATCAGTGATCTATTGTTAATTCATCGTACTATCTAATTACCCTTAGTAATTTTGTTGAGCAGGTAGAATTGAAGTGGATTTTGTGTATTCTATGTTTGGGGAATAGGATATTTCGGGGAGCTTTTTTTTTTTCTTTAAAGGGAGTAGGTTGTTAGGCTTCTTTTGCATGCTCATAGTAAACTTAATAGAGCTTAGATGATGATGAATTGATTGATAAGTAGAGTAAAGTTGTTTTAGAAAACAGTTATTAAGCAAACAAGATAATGAAAAGGAAATCAAACAAACCCTTGTTCTTTTCAACTTCAATAATTATATTAGAGAGAAAGTTCACCATGCACCGTCCAAGCAAATCCAGAATTATTTCAGTGGATAAAATAACTAATGGCGAATCTCCCTTTTTATTCCATAGGATTTTCCTCGCAGTTTATTTAAGATTGATATTTCTTAACATAACTCACTACACTTCTCTTAATTTCACATTTGAGCAAGTGTATGAGATTTGGTGAAAGAGCCTTATTTTCCTGGTTTAATTTTTTTAATTGGCCCGCTAAACATGATTTCTAATTAATCTATCTGAGATTCTGAGTGTAAGGAGCTTAGATGTCGATTTTCTGCTATTGTTTTCAATGGTGAGTGGTAGAAGGACAAAATTCTGCCATATAAATGCGCCATTGTGGTGTGTGGCTCCACCATAACGGGCCTCCCTTCAAAAATTGCCTGGGCAGTAGGCAAAAAAATTGCAGCGCCATTCCACAACTAAAGAACAGTCATTTAACAACAACGTTATTCCCTCCCTATTCATTTGCTTCTTTTTCCGTTATTGATGTGCCACTGTTTTCTGTTCTCCTAGTTAATGTTAAACAAATTTAATTTCTGAAGTGTTAAAATATTAGTAGATACTAGTAGATTATAATAGTGTTGACTTTTCATTATTTCTTCACTGTCATAACTATTGGTACAATGGTTACTTCTATGAAAACAAATACTTGAACCTTTAAATTCATTGGTAGTTTAATATGAAGACAAAAATGTTTCAGTTGTCACTTCAATTGATTGTCTATAGAATTCCTTCATTACCTCTATGTCCTATCATGTGATCAGTAATCCATACTTCTTTAGCATTTCAAAAGTATTTAGACCCTTTCATGTCAGTCTTACCTTTCGATGTTTTCTTTCTTTATACCAAACTAAACTGCTTTATTATGGTGACACAGATGATCACTACTCATATTTGGCCTGCAATTTTTTTAATGTAAAGACTTGCTGATTAATGGACAACTAGTTGACACAGATATTTATATAATCTGGACGTTCAAGTTTAATAGACTCCCCCCTCTCACTAAACAGTTACAAATATGTGAAATGATCACTGTTAAAAAAAAGAATATTCAGCAGTAGAGAAATAAAATAATTATTATGCTATTAGTGCAACTTTGGGTGATACTATTATGCATTTCACAAATGCAAACAATGTTGATGAAATATTTTTAGTAATTTAGTTTAATTTGATTCTCTTCCTTCTTTCGTTAGTATCTTACCTGATATTGTTCTGCAACAGAAACCAGAGAACATTCCGTCCAAAAAAAAGTACTCCATCTGGAAGTAAGGTGGGTTTCTATTATTTTTCTGGGATCTTTTTTTAGATATTATTTGTTCTTGATGATTTAAGTTTTTTTTTTCTCATTTAAAGCTGAGAGCATTGCTGTTATGACCATTTCAGTTTTTATTTCATTCATTATATCACACGTGCATGGATGGGAAGGAATTGCTTTA